TTTTTCATTTACTTTTAATATTTATGGATTGGTAGAAAAATATGCTTACCTTACTTTGATACATACACAAAAATAAAATGAAAAAAATATATACATTTTTTCATATTAGGGCTTTAGCCCCCCCAGTTCCGATGACTTAACTTCGCCCATGCCACGCTTGCCGATCACAAAATTATTCCTTCATTAAAAAAATTTATTTTAAAAAATGTTCGTTGTTTAGAACTCAATGAGGTTATATAATAAATAAGACAAAATATTAAAAAAAGAGAGAATTGCAAAAATACGACGCATAGACGGTTCCACCTAAAAAAATATATATTTTGTTTATATCACCGAAATTCAACAGTCCATGTTTTTTCACATATTTCCTCCAAACCGCAAGAAAATTTCCTAAAATTTTGGTCATTATCATTTTTTCCTATTCAGAAGGGAAATTTTTTATTTCCAATATATTGATCTAGGTATGCCTATTTTAATTATTATTATTGTTTTAGTTTTGGTTATCTACTGGGTGTTTATTAAGTACTTGTACAAACTTTAAAAGATCAATCTTTGACTAATTTTAAAATAAAAAATTCATATGAACATGGGTCCGCAACGGCTTGGTTCTTGAGATACAGCCTTCAAAAAAAATGTTTGTTTGGTATTTTGATTATATTTTTTTCTAATTTTAACTTTAAACCCATTTTTTTACAAAACGGCTGCTTTCAGCGTCAAATACTAGGAATACATTTCGTACATAAAATTGAATAGTAGTAGTTATGATACAACACAGTGTGAGACAAAAAAATTATAGTTATTTAAATCCAGGTACAACACTGTATGTGGCGCCCTCTAACATTAAACAGAAAACTAAGTAAACATTTGAGTTTCTCATCATCAGTAGTCCCAATTTCCCGTATTTCATCAAATTGCCATGTTATTGAACAAAAATATAATCGTAATGCCAAAAATTTTTTTTGGACGCTCTGTATCTCAAGAACTAAGCCGTTGTGGACTCATAGTCATGTGAACTTTTTATCGTAAAATTAGTCAAAGATTCATCCTTTAAAGTTTGTACAAGTACTTAATAAACACCCTGTATATCTGAAATATAAAATTTCAATATTTTAATTTTGTGGTTGTGAATCTGAAACAAGAACGTTCTTTCATCTTTAAAGTCATCCTTTGCAGAAAATTTAATGATGCAAATATTTAAATGCGAGTATTTGGATGTTTTCTTTTAAATTATGATGCCTAGTTCCAGTTCTAAAATAACTGGTAAAAATTGTCAAAATTATTCATCTATATTTGAGATACATTTCAAAATATTTCAAAATATTTGATTTTCTGGGATAAATTCGAATAGAATTGGCTCGTTTGACTGTTATAAAGAGTTAATTGGTTTTTGTAGGTACTTATATTATTTTATAATTTGATCAAATACATGAACATGATAGTTCTGAAGATCTTTTGCCTTATTGATTTATTTATATGGACACCGATCGCAAAATTAACTTTCTTTCTCTATATTTTCCTTAGGGATAATAAACCAAAATTAACCTGTTATTGTTGAAATAAATGAAATAAATGAAAGACAATTTTTTATACATTACAACAATGCGCTACGTTCTTCTTTTTCGATAAGTGCTAATTGTAATCGTGCAGATTCATGCTGGGCTTAATTGTTTGTAAATTTAAAGTAGAAACGCACTTTTCTCATGTTACGTGCTGACATCACGTAAAACGTGAGGTAGTGTGATAGGTACAAACTTATGTGCATCACTGTGTATAAAAGCAACAATATAGCTCAGTCTTAATTACTAATATCTCAGAAGATTACACTAATGGAGCATGTTGCTTCAAGTATCGGCTTTTGTGACTGACTGGACGATAAGGAAAAAGTTAGAAATGAATAAAAAAATGTATGTGATAGCTTTGGTTCAATTTATATCTTTAATTTTTTTGGTCGCATTATTTGGCCCGACACAATCAAATTACTTCTACTTTACATAATCTGTATAACACTATATCCTTTATAATACATATTGTCTATTAATAGTGGCATCATGACAGCAAGGTACATATCTTAAAAATTGCGATTTAGCATCGCTATTTTGGCCCTACCTATCTCTCTTAGTTAATATTAGATTTAAACACATCAAACTCATATCTCTGTAATTGGGAACAAACGTTCCAATGATTTTATAAAAATGTACAGTATGTCTCTTAAGAAAAAAAAAACAACCCACTAAACATTTTTCAGTTTCTGACATGTTTCAGAAACGTTTCCATTTTTCTTGAAACGTTTCATAAAAAATCCATGCAACGTTCTGGTAACGTTCTAGAAGCCCAAGATGTCCTCCCCAAAATACGTTTCCAATGAAACGTTTCAAAAAATTGGTTTCAGTAACATTCTTTTTATGTTCCATTTATGCCCTCGATATTTTTGTTTTACGTTTCAGTATATTTTCAGAAATGTTTGAGTAACATAATAATTTTATTACCATATTGTTCTCATAATGCTCTCAACTTTAGATCATTTTCATTTCAAAAGCGTTTTTGAAATAGTATAAATAGTGTGAGTATTTTTTTAAATATCTCTAATACTCCTTTGTGATATTTTTATTTGTATTGTGAATGACTTAATTCGAACTAAAAAAAGTTACATTGTATATTAAAAAAAATAAATATGCTCTTCTAGTTTGGGGATGCGGCAACTTTTACTAAGAATTTCTTTCTTTTTGAGAAGCCACTGAAAAAAGTTTCTAATATGGATTATGAATTTTGCCATTCATCGTACAAATAAAAATATCACAAAACAATATCAGAAGCATTAAAAAAAAGCTACACATTTTATATAGTTCAAATACGCTTCTGAAATGGAAATTTTCTAATGTTGAGACCTTCATGAATATGGTAACAATGACGAACTGATAATTAGAAAAAGTTAGTTATGATTATGAATCTTAAAATGGTAGGTACATGAAAAACAAATAACATTACTGAAAAATAATATAAAGTTATAATTTCTTCTACGCATGGTCAATATTACATATATCCTTTTAATAATAATAAATTATACAGCAGAAATAAGGATACAAAATGATATCTTGACAAAGTAAATATCTGTAGGTATACCTAAACTCTTTTATTTAAGCATGCCTATACACATAAACAAATATAAACATTTGTACAAAATATAAAATAAATGACGTCTATTTCACTTGATTCATCCATATTTCAAATAGTTCTCACTGACTAAGTAGTTGCTCTTCAAATTATATCGAAACGTATAGTTGTTGTTCCATTTTCTTAGTTCTTGTCCCTTGTCCTCTTGTCTGTAATAGGTAGTGGGTATAACTATATTTAGGTAGATGTGACGCAAAATTGGAAATCTCTACACATATCGTTTTAAACATTTTGCATCAATATTCATTATTTTATATGCACCTTACAATAACCACAACTGCACACACTACAAATTATCACATAAAATAGCGTCAAAGTAAAGATGAATAACAACGAAACCAAGCAAACTGACAAACCGCAAACCTAACCTAACATAATACGAATTGAAACGACACACGGGAAACAAATAAACTCGGGCTGTTACGCGCAGTCTACGCAAGTCACGAACATACATTTTTTCTAGACTTGTGTTATAAATATGCTACCACATTTTTTTTTCTAATTATGTCTTTATATAACAAAGGCAAATGAACTAACGCTTGAGAAGGATTGGGGATTGAGAGCAAAATTTAACTAATGCCGAATGTTCCATAAGATAAGCAAAAATAGCAAAGGGTTGTTCGTCTGTTATGTTTCCGAGATCGAAAGGGAATGTTTCGAGTAATGTTTCAAACTCTCTTCAATTGTAACGTTTCGGCTATGTTTCACTAAATAAGTTTTCAAGTGCTACATTTCTGTAATGAAACAGAAACGTTTCTAGTTAATGTTTCAAATGTTTAGTAAAACATCTCATTTGCAACGTTTCATTTACGTTTCGTGTTTAGTGGGAAAGTTAGTATCTATATCTTAGAAATTGTCTTTATGAATTAAATTCCTTATAAAAAATTAGGAAATAAATCATATTACAATCTTCCGATATATTGGAAAAAGATAGGTACATCAAATGTAACATTTTTGCATGATGACCCTGTACGTTAAACGTAACGTTAAATATTTTAAATTTTATTTTCGCTATTAGAACTCATTGAATTCAAATCGGAAATTTTACTTATTGAATGAAATTTGACATAGGCTTAATTAACTAATTTAGTTTAACCATGAATCGATCTAGGATAAGTAAAACAATACCTATCTTAATTAAATTTGCTGATTCAGAAGATATTTATATATTCATTTATTTTCAGAATCCTATAATAGCATTGGCTCAGATCCAGCTTTTCAGTAAGTATATTGTTTAATTCTGTTATCTTTTTATAGTACCTTTCCATTGTCACTCTGAAATGTCTAATGTTTTAAAATCCCGGTTGTCCTAAAAGATTTTTCACATATACATGATGTTCCTTTTATATCAGTTACTTCGGTGATGTAAATGGCGTTATCGCCTTTAGATTTTGTTTGGAATATTCAGTATCAAAGAAATGTAATAAACTTTACGGGCTAAAATATGCTAAAATATGCTACAGAATACAACTTAAATGAATTTGTTCCATAATTTACCTGCCCACTGTATATTTACAAATATAATTTTCTTACTTTTAGGTAGATTTTTTTTAATGATGATTGTTACAAAATTATTATTATTGAATTCCGACTTTTTTGTCCAAAGCATTGACATGATGTTAGCGACTCTACCAGAGATTAGAGGGAGTTGCGTTAGCCAATCACGTGCCTGCGCGAGAGAGAAAGATAGTACCCAAATTATCTCTTTCCCTCACTGTCACTCGTCTACACTGTCGCCATGAGCGTGCTTCCGCCATGTAGTATACAGGATCGGAAAATCCCCATGGTTCGTCGGCCGTTACTTGAGAGCGATAAAGTAAGTCATAGAAATCCGTGCGATAGAGAAATATGGCTATAATGAAGGCGTCTAATAGTCACCGCCCATTTCGCCCTTCCACAAATAAG